CGTATCCAATATTTTTCGGTGTTTTGAAAGTATGCCAAGTTTCATTAAGATCGGCGGGTGGCACTTGGGTAGGTTTACTTTAAGCATGCGAAATTTGTATCTCTATTTGTTACGTGTAACAAAAAGAGATGAAGTAGCTGCACACGTAGCCAGACGTATGTGCAATATCCATGTATTGACAATACATGTTATGTCCTGATCTAAAATGACATTGAACATAGGGAAAGACACTACTACGGCAGTGTGTCGATGTACATACACTGTCAGTACTAAAAATCCATATATAGTTTATGTTACGACTATTACAGATTCTGGTAATATATATCAGTAGACTTTTATCTCTTTAGCAAAAAGAGGTGAAACAGTTACACATATATGTGCAATATATGTATTCATATGACACATTTTGATACATTATGTAACTTAAAATGGCATTGGACCATAACGAAAAGTGCTACGACCGTGTATACTGTCAGTAAAATCTGTATTTTACGTCACATATATTAGGGATTTTTGGTACTGACAGTGTGAATTAAGGTGCGTTCCGTATCGCGCATGATGCATCCTTTGTCCTTGTTTAACATTTGGTGAGCAACAAGGATAAACGACGCATTATGCGCACCATGCGAGATACGGAACGCACCCTTAGAACGCAATCATATTTCAGACTGCGTTCTGTCTAAATGCTCACACATGTGAGCAAACCGAGCGACTGGAAACGGTGCACGGCTGGAAACAGGTGGAAATGTGAGTGCTCACAGCATTCATAGCGCATGCAAGCAGTGATGGGCCGTGTGGGAATTATTCTCACATGGGAATGTTCATGCCAGGGTTGCCAGATACTTGACAAGCGCCGTCGCCGATGGAGGGCTCTCGTGTCGTCCAAAGTCGCCCAACTGAAACGCGCTTTCCAAAAAAAAGGGGGATAGGAGGGAGAGAGTGGAAGAAAACTCATTACCATAAATTTCTGTATTTCTGATAATGAATCGTTAATTTCCAAACGAATTTTACAAACTGACCAATTAAAATACGTTTCAAAGCATTTGTAGCATCGCGTTGACCGTGCCTATATTACCGGCCTATATAAATTTTAAAGGTATGTACATTTATTTCATTTGCGCAAAAACTTTACAAACTTTAACAATATTTGCCAACGCCAATGATTTTTCCAAAAATGTAATATAAGAGCGTAAATAATGCTAAAGTTTGTGCAGTTTTTCAAAAAGGAACTGTATGTACTTACGCCTTTTAAAAAGTTATTTAGGCCCAGTTTCACAACTCACAATTATCTCTTAACCGAGGTTGAACTTGTTTCTCATTTCTTTTCAATTCTATAATTAGAAAGAAATAAGGAATAGGTAAACCTCGGTTAAGAATTAACAGTGAAAAGTGAAAATTTTTATGTATGTCAGATTCACATCCGATTTTCGTCGTACGACGTTCTGCAACCAATCAGAAAACAGGAATTTGCTTTGTATTATCGATACGAACGCTCGCTGCGGCGCTGCTTGCATTGATGTTTTCTTCTAGATCTTATTGGATGATAAAGGGGATCTCGGCGCTACCGTCATGGCGTCGCCAAAAAGTCG